TACCAAACGTACAATGCTCTCCGATCTCGCGCGAGTATACGATCCCATCGGATTTCTAGCTCCTATAACGTTTCTTACGAAACACCTTCTTCAGTGTTTATGGATTTCTGGAGTGGGATGGGATCAACCGCCTGATGATGAAATTCGTCAAATTTGGTCGCAGTTTAGGCAAGAATTGCCTTTGTTATCTACAATTCGAATTCCTCGCTTGATTTGTAATGACACTTATGGGCATTATGAAGTTCATGGATTTGGCGACGCTTCTGCTAAAGGTTTTGGTGCTGTTGTCTATATTAGAGTTATTGATGCGGATCAAGAAATTCATACTTTTCTTATCTGTGCAAAAAGTAAAGTAGCGCCACTCAAACCTATCACTATTTTTAAATTAGAGCTCTGCGCCGCAGTTCTACTTGCGAAATTGATGTCATATGTTCTGAAGCTCTATAGTAAGGAATTGAAGTTCGAAAGAGTATGTGCATGGTCTGATTCAAAGGTTGCCCTGGGTTGGATTAGATCTCCCCCCTATAAATGGCAAACTTTTGTGGCCAATCGTGTCTCGCTGATTCAAGAGCGGTTATCTCCTTCCTCCTGGTTCTATGTTAAATCTGAACTCAATCCTGCTGACGTTGTATCGAGGGGATTGCTTCCTTCCCAAATTACAACAGCGGCATTTTGGTTTCAAGGTCCTGACTTTCTTCGGGTGAGCGGTGATTCCTGGTTGAAATTGCCTGAATTGGATCTTGCTCCTTCAGAAGAAGCAGAAACATCAGAAGCTAAGCGACATGTTTTTCTCGTAATGACTGAGGGGGGTAACTTCCTAGACGATTTGTTAGAAAATCGTTCATCTTTCGAAATTGTTTTACGTATTGTTGCATATATTCTCCGTTTTATTTCTAATTCGAGAAATTCTGTCGAAAAAAAGGGTGGTTGGCTTACATCATCCGAATTGAATGATGCTCTGAAGGTTATTGTGTTACGTACGCAGTCAGTGTCATTTAGAAGTGAGATAAACGGTGATAATTTCTCCAAACCGCTACGGAAATTGAACGCCTTTATTGATGAAAATGGTCTTCTTCGAGTTGGTGGCCGATTAAAGTACGCCCAACTCCCCTATGATGTGAAACATCCACTGTTGTTGCCAAGAAATTCTAGGTTGACTCGTTTATTGATAGAATATTGTCATAAACGCTATTTACACGCTGGGCATAGGACTGTGCATTTTTTATTGTCCCAGCAATTTTGGATATTATCTCCAAAACGTGCAATCCGTTCAGTTTTGTCGAAATGTTGGCAGTGTTGGAGAACTCAGCCAAAAGCTTTTCAACCCCCTATGGAGAATTTACCTGTGTCTCGGATTTCGCAAGTTAAAGCCTTTACCCACACGGGTGTGGATTTCGCAGGTCCATTTCTGATAACAATGAATCGAGTTCGTGGTACTAAGTCTATTAAGGCGTATGTGTGCATTTTTGTGTGTTTTTCCACAAAAGCTATACATATTGAGCTATGTAGTAGCCTTTCTTCGGATGTTTTTCTAGCGGCTTTACAAAGATTTATTGGGCGACGTGGTAGGTGTGATCACTTTTATTCGGATTGTGGCACCAATTTTGTGGGAGCCCATCGTCAATTGAAAAAAATGATGGAACAGGCTTCCAATAAAGAAAATATCACGTGGCATTTCAATGCCCCCAGTTCCCCTCATTTTGGAGGCCTCTGGGAGGCTGGGGTTAAGTCGATTAAAACACATTTAGTTCGAGTAGTAGGTCAGCAAGTTTTGTCATACGAAGAGTTCTATACGGTTTTAGTATTAATTGAAAGTATACTTAATTCGCGTCCGCTCGTACCATTGAGTTCTGACCCTAATGACTTGGCAGTGCTAACTCCGGGCCATTTTTTAACCCTCGAACCGCTCGTCGCATTACCTACCCCCGATCTGTCATCCAGCCCGATTAATAGATTAAGCCGTTGGCAGTTGCTTCAACAGATGCACCAAACTTTTTGGAGTCGATATAATAAAGAATATCTGCACACGTTACAGCAGAGGACCAAATGGACCACTCCTTTGAGTCCGGTAGCCATCGGAACAATGGTATTAATAAAAACGGAAGTGACAACGCCGATGCAATGGCCATTAGGTCGCATTAAATCACTTAGTGTAGGGGCTGATGGTGTTTCACGAGTTGCTGTTGTAGAGACTGCCAAGGGTACTTACTCTAGGCCTCTTGTGAAGTTATGCGCTCTGCCTGGAGCATAACACATCACATTTTTTGTTTTTTTTCTTTTTCATTTCATCACTAAATATATATTTCATTTAGCAGATAATTTCTTACCATGTGTTTCGATTATTGTCTTTTAATTTATTGAGCATTCAGTATTTCTTTTTTTTTATTATTAAATGCATGGTTGCATTTCTGGTGGGGATAATGTTTGGGAAAGATGGCAACACTGTCTTCTTTTCAATAAAAGTAGCTTTCTTCGCGAAATGAGCGTTACAAGTTTTTTGGTGAAAATCCCATTTTTTGCGTCCTATGCCCAAGTCACGCAGAATGGACACAGACAGACCAAGTTACTATGAATTCGAACGCTGGCCAGTGAAAAAGTCGCAAAACTCTCGAGTGTCGAGTTATCATACGCGCTAACAAGTGCATACTACTTTTGAAGTGACATAACCGGGATTCTTGGCTCTACATTCTAAAATACTGTGTTATGTGCGCTCTACTATGAAAACTGATGGTGATCACCTCCAGGATGATACCGGTCTAAGGATGACAAAGAGGAAGCCGACATGAAGGTACAATTTTGTAACGCTCTCGTTTGCTAATCAATGATACTTAATATACAATCATGCAGTCCATTTTCGCATTCCCAAACAGTCTTCAACATTCAAACCACCATCTTTCATTCTGAGAACCATTTGTAATTGTTCATTAGTTAGTCGTGGCATATTTTATTACAATAATCAAATGTTTGACAATTTCTGATTATTTCCCAGACAACATATTATACCGAGGGGTTAACCAATGAATTTGAGGTATTCAAAAAATTCGAATAGCCATTATGTTGTTCAAAATTGCATATCTCAAAACATCCTGTATGGATCTTGATGAATCCGAAACCATTTCGAGGAAACACATTAGGCTTCATGTTTTGCCGTCAGGAAAATTTAAAAAGAATTATCCTGCTAACGGGGCGACCTCAAACTTTTCGGAAAGTATCACACTTTCAGATATCATCATGTAGGTCATAATTCCGAAATGGTGGAGAAACGTAAAAAAAAATATGTTATAGCCAATCAACTGGGCAATCACAATCTCAAAACTAATCAAAGATCGGTTGATCTCATCCAAAGTTATCACGGTTCGAAAACAAACAAAATGTTCGCTTGTCTCACTTCAAATGTGGAGCAGTTTAGTTAATAACAGGGCAGACAGGAAAATATGCTCATGATATTTTATTATGTTATAAACATACTTGAAACGGTGTAGGGTCGGGTTCAAATTTTACAAGGGCCCACGTGCCCTTGAATCACCAAAAGGTGATAATTGAACTTTGAAAAATGAAACTGAAAAGTTTGATGAGGCATCAAAATCAACACTTTATCAGGTTAACTTTGATTATTGATTTGGTTGATTGCTTGAAAAGTTTATTTAATATATCATAGCAGAGTGCTTCGGCTATAAAGCCATCATCGTTCGGCCATCCGCAATTGCGTGCGGAAAAGTCACTATTTTTTTCTACTAGCGAGCGGATAAAAACCCAAGTTCCTCTTTCCCGCACTCTATTTAGTGTTGAAAGTTTTTCCAGCACAAGTGTAGGAAAGCGACTGTCGAAATACCCCAGGCGATATCTAATTATGATTTTTTTTTTAATTCTGTACGGCACGCCTGCTCAGTTGCTAAATATGATCAATTAACAAGTCTTTTTATGTGTTCCGTCATTAGTTCTGCACACATCGTAGTAAACAGTTGGTAAATTGTTCCTGGAGTATATTCATGCCCCACGCGGGACAGACTTGAAATCTGCTATATCTGAATTCGTGTATGTACAAATGGAAATTCAACCTCAAAACGATCAGCCTGCAATGGTAGTCAAATGTTCATATTATCTAGGATAAAAAAAATTAATAAAAGGGATGTGCGTGTAATATTTATTCGTTCATTGAAATTCATTACTCAATTCAAGTATATCAATCAAATTAATTTGTTTAATTATTATTATTGTTATAAATAATGTAATTCCACATCGGACAACGATTTTTTTAGTTTAAAAGTCCTGAAATTCAATCAAAACCAATGGGGTAGATTACTACCCCAAGCAGCAACTTGGCTATTCTATCCATCGAAAAGTCTATGGCCCGAAATTTGAACTTTTATGATGTCATTAACACTTTTGCACAACAGAAAGTCCGAAGAAAGAAATTTCAATAATTAAAATCATGTTCTAAAGCTTCAAATACAACTTTGAATAATTATGTACCTTTACTTCAGAGTGAATTATAAAAAAATCCAGTAATTACATTTAATACCTACTTCACGTGATGATTCATTATTGAACTTCAAAAAGAAAAAGTGTATAAAAAAATTTTATAAAATAAAAACTACTATTATTGTGGGGGGGCCCATCCGCTGAATTTTCCACGGGTCTCAAACAGTATAGTTACGCCACTGCACAGGGACTTGTTATTTTCATAACCGATATCCATTAGAATGTGTAATTTGTTTTGTTGCATTCATTAGAAAAACAAAAAAATATAAAAGAAATCGCGAATTTTCGTTTTTCTCAAAAAATCTTCGGAAGTATTCCGAATTTTTCGAATTCCAAAAGAGCATTTTGTTAGGCATAACATTGCACAACTTTGCCATAGTTTAACCGACCCTGTATCTTTTACAGTTTACGAGATACTAATGGTGAGGCTATCGTATTCCAGCCACCCTGTAGAGAGATGAACGGTATCTGGATTTTCCGAAATCAAATCATTTTCTACGAAAATAACTTATGCATACTTTGTCTTCTTGAAGTCTTTCAGGAGGGTAGGATGCTCCGGCATCTTCTTGATGTCCTCCCAATCCTTCTCGTGTGGGAATCCCATTACGTTGAATATCCTGTCCAGCTGGTCGTGGTGGTACGGATTGCTGGTCTTTATGTCTTCCTGTCGACAATGGAAGATCGGCTCGGACGTCAGCAGTTCGGCGAATATGCAGCCTATCGCCCAAATATCTGCAACAACATCGACCGGTCCGGAAATATTCATATGTGTAATACCACAGTAATTGCTATTTATATATCAAGGGAGGAAAGGTAGTCATTTCCTACCGCGTGTGAAGTTTGATGCTCGACTCGTAGCATCTTTCGGAAAATTGTGCGTCCAGCGGTCTATCTCTCGAGTCTCGATCCAAATCAATGTGTTACATGATCTAAGGTTTCAATTGACAGTATTTGAATCGAACGAAGATCGATTTGACACTTATGTTACATTAAATTTGTTCATTGTGTAATTGTATGTTATTCAAAGTTTTGATTGAGTAGTTTTGGAATATGAGGAGGTGTATGAGACCATTAATGTTCAAAAAGGAAATTGTTGATTGTTTTTTAGTATACAGTGTGTCCCACTTACCATGCTCACCATGGGTATCTTTTTAACGGTGAGAGATACGAGGTCGGTTAAATGACACCAAATGTAGAGTTTGTCAAGGCCAACTATAATGTGAAGAAATATTTTGATAAAATCTATTCATTTTTGTTTTATACGCAAAAAACAGATTTTGATCATTTTCATGTCTCCCCCGTAACTTCTTTATTTATGAAAATATGCAAATAGGAAATTCACATTCCCATGGCAGTTTTTCAAAGTGATTTCGAAAAAAATATGAAATTTATACCAACTCTTCTAGAATTTGAGATATCAGCACCAACTTTAGTTTTTCAAATGTAGGTCATAGCTCACTATGACTTAGTTACAAATAACTTTTTTTCCTCTTACAGATGATATGTCGCAATAATAGTTTTGTGTTGATAACAACGGAGTTATCGTCATTTATACAGAAACAAAAAATTATTTGGGAGCCGCCATCTTGAATTTATAAATTTTAACAAAAAAAATCATAATCTCCGACCTCAAAAACCCCCACTTACCAATTTTGAATGGAATCGGACCAAATCTTGTCCGCCATCTTGGAGCAGCCATTTTTTATAATTTCAACATAAATTCCATAATGTATTGTCACCGAAATTATGAACACTTGCCAAATTTCAAGTTGATCGGAGTTATTGAATTTTTTCACATTATAGTTGGCCTTGACAAACTCCACATTTGGTGTCATTTAACCGACCTCGTATCTCTCACCGTTAAAAAGATACCCATGGTGAGCATGGTAAGTGGGACACACTGTATAGTGACACCGATTAGGTACTTGGGTAGAACAGATCATATATACGCATATCTCTACCAAGGAAGCAAGCTAAAATCTATTTATTTTACCTCCTACGGGAGGTAATATTTTGTTTATATTTCAACGCTGCCAGATTGGTAACTAGTAATTACCTCATGAGATTCATTATGACCAATGATTAATTTGTGGCACAGGCAGCAGTGTAAGTTCCCAGAAATACAAAAAGAAGGGGAAGAAGACAAACTACATTGTCAACCTAACTTCCTGACGTTAAAATCGGCAGTCATCTTCATCAGCTGAAACGAATATCTCGTTTCTAATAAAACTGTATACAGTCTGTCCAAGATAAGGTTGAACAGCATGGGGATCTCGGAAACGGTAGGAGATACGAAGTCGTTTAAATAGGAAAAAAGTTGCGCATTCGGAGGCTCATATCAATAGCCTTCGAACATTTTCAAAATTATTTCTAGTTTTTGGGTTATATCGAAAGAAGTGAATTTTTGGAATATCCATTTTTTTTCTCCGTTATTATCAGAGATACAGAAAAACTGATAATACTTTTTCATAGTAACTTTTTATGACGTTTAGCGTGGTGATACCGATTTTGGTATACGACGTTTCGTATCCGTGAAACCATCATCAACTTTTGTTTTTTAAATAAGGTCCTGATAATTTTTTCACAGATTCTGAAAGGTTCTTTTATTCTGAATTCAACCATGTATGATACAAGGTGAGTCGAATGTGTTTCGACCTATTTCTATCCATCATCAATGTTTTTTCGAACTTCCAATGGAAAAATGCCATCAGTTCCACTTATTACTGATCATTTAGTGTCAAACATTGATGGATTAGTTATACAATACTGAGAAGTGAATAAAAAATATTTCACTATATCATTCAATGCAGCGCTTAAAATTGTTGATGAATTCTTACACGAATTACTTTAATAACTTAACTTTGACAATACCTACAGAAACATTCATGACAAATGTTCAAAATCATAACCATTGTTTTCTGAACAAAGATATCCTCTTCTCACAGTTGCTTCTAAGACATTATTAACACATTGATTGCCAAGCCCATATCTGGAGTTTATCCCACGGGGCCAAAGGTACATTTTAGTTCCATTCATGAATTTTCACTTCCAAAAATCAAGTTTGACCCTTAAAAGTCATTATTGATTTTTTTTTCATCCATTTTGTTTGTTTTTCGATGTCATTCATATATGAATGACGTGGCCTCCCATGTTAGCCTAAAGAGTTATTTCACCACGCTGGGCCACGTCATTCAAATATGTATGACGAATATGATGATTGTTTTTTTTCTACTAGCGTGCGGAAAAAAAAACACTTTTCCGCACCCATTTCAGTGTTGAAAGAGTCATTTTTCCGCACTAGTGCGGAAAAAACTCTCCACAGTGAAATGAGTGTGGAAAAGAGGAATTTATTTTTCCGCACGCTAGTAGAAAAAATAGTGTACCTAACACATGCGGAATAGTATCACTTTCCGCACTTGTTAGGTAAACTACTATTTTTCATTATTATGTAATATTGGTTTTACTGTTTTTACGATGAATGAACCTTTTCATATATGATTTTTGTATTTTATTGTCTTGCATCACGATCTATCAAAATTTGCTCTGGCCAAATATGCCTGTGACTTCCTTGGAGGCCACACATTCATATCCCCATCTGAATTGCATTGGCTATCATTCATATTCGTATGACACGGCCTCACAACAAAAATATGTCGTCATACATATATGTATGACGCGGCCTAAACGGAAGTGGTAGTGTCATTCACATATGTATGACGTGGCAATCAATGTGTTAAGCATTTTTGGGGTTATTCCATTGAATGCTTCTTCATCATCAAAATAATTTGCTTATACAAAGTTTTTGATATATCCCCTAAGAAAAAATCCAGCTGTGTCAAATCAGGCGACCGCGCCGGCCAAAGGACTGTAGAATGAGTAGCAATCCATTATTCTGGATAAAAACGCACGGACTTCTCTGGAATTATGTACCGGGTCGCCATCTTGTTGAAACCAACAGTTCTGAACTTCCGCAATCGGTAAATCATCCAGAGCTTCCTCAAGATGATTCTCAAGCGAATTTCTATAACGTTCGGAAGTCTGTGTTTCATGGTAAATAGAAGGAACAATAATTCGTGTACCAAATATTGCAACCCACATATTAGAGCCGAAACGGTGTTGGTGTCTCGCTGTAATGTATAAATGTTCATTTTCTCGTGAACAATAATGTGTATTTTTTTTATCGAAGATACCATGATTAGTGACCATGCTTTCATCAGTCCAGATGATTGTTCGAGGGAAATCTGCAAAATTTTGACATTTCCTGGTATACCACTCACAGAATGTCCTGCGCCTTTCGTCATCGCCTGGTTTTAGCGCTTGACATATTCTGAATTTGTATGGATGAAATTTTTGTTTCCGCAAAATGAAATAGGTTGTTGATTGAAACCAGTTGATGAAGTATTAGAGTGTTGACTAATTTTCCTTCAAAATTAGTGGAACTGATGGCATTTTTCCTTTGGAGTTTCGAAAAAACATTGATGATGGCCAAAAATAGGTCGAAACACAAATAAACCACCTTGTATAATACATGGTTGAATTTAGAACAAAAAACCTTTCAGTCTGTGAAAAAATTGTCAGGACCGTTAAAAAACAAAAGTCGATGATGGTTCTACAAATACGAAACGTCGCATAAAAAAATTGGTATTACCACGTTAAACGTCATCAAAAGTTGCTACGGAAAAGTATTTTCAGTTATTCTGTATCTCTGATAATAACGGAGAAAAAAAATAAAATAGATATACCAAAAATTCACTTTTTTCGATATAACTCAAAAACTAAAAATAATTTTAAGATTTTTCGAAAGCTCTTGATATGAGCCTCCGAATGCGCAACTTTTTCCTCCTTTAACCGACTTCGTATCTTCTACCGTTTTCGAGATCCCCATGCTGTTCAACCTTATCTTGGACAGACTGTATATGTCCACCCCGTATATTCTCGATACCATTACTAGGCGAGTTCGGCTTGCACATCGGAGTTGGGAGTGGGGCGAGTTTGGAACGAGAGTGAATCTTCGTCACGTGATATATGGAGTGAATCCCAGAGCGCAGGGTCGTTCTGTACCCCGAGTTCCTGAATTACCGCACTCTGACATGCACATGACTCTGACATATGTCTGCCTCAACTCAACCTGCTGAAGTGCTGAAATCTTAAATACTAAAATGAATATTAATAATATTGTTATTTCTGTCGTCCATTTCGCCAGACAACTACTTCACGAGGATGATGATGATGATGATGATAGAAACATCCTCGAGAAAATCGATAACTTTGCTGAGATAACGGTGCCAGCTATGATGGATCACCAGTTTCAAATGCACTTTCGAATGCAACCTGAAACTTTCGAAGATCTGGTTGGGAAATGTATCCATGCAGCAATGTTGAATGATATAAACTTAACAAATTATATAAGGAAAATAAGGAAACTGTGCTAGAGGTATGTAAACCAGATTAGGTCGTTTGCTATAGTCACTGATTTTCAAATCGTTGAATAAATTGTCTTCTTCGATTTAATGTATATATAGTCTTTTCATGTTTTGGTCTCTGATAAACTATAACACTTTGAAGTTAGTTAATAAAATATTGTTAGATAAGATTCTTTATAGTTTATTTCTTTTTTCTTATTAGGCGTTTTCCTATGAGTGATTACTTTTGGAATTATCCGGAGAAGCTACAAAAATAAAGAATCTCACACCCGGGGAGTGCAAATCTCAACTTTGATTTCGTCACCTGAA